GTGTGTGTGTGTGTGTGTGTGTGTGTTTGTATACATTTACTTATTCATGTATATGCGTCAATTTAGTATTTACATGGTCCTTTAACAGATCACATCTACGACCACAAGAGTCAAGTCGGTCCTCAAACACCCTATTCTCTACAATCATATACTAGTGTGCATAATTCATATGTCAGGGAAACTTCATGTATATGTCATTTTGTGTGTATCCGGTTTATATACATAATTTGACATAGCTACGATAATTCAAAGTCCAAGGGTACTTCAGTGATAATATAAGTTTCAGAAATTGACTGAGCGGTCCTTTCGATGTATAGTAAATACGATATATCGTTTGGTTGTGCCTGCAGCAGATACTCAGCTTGTGTCTGAACTCGCTTTCTTTCAATTAAAGATATAGTGGTACTTTCTTCGACTTCAAGCGGTTCTATGGATAGTAACTGCTTCTATCACCTTATCCCAAACAAGAGAGTTAATATTAATGATTGACCATCTATTCAATGTTACATACCGATAATCTTCTGCATCTATCATTCTGTTTAAAGTTTCTGTGGAGATACGCTTGCACGGCCGGGCACCGAAGTTTCAGTGAAAGTGCGGTGGATCCATTACACTACAAAGATTGACTTTATCACTCGCTGAAGCCAAGCATTTGCATAGTTATAGACGATACATCTGGGACATTCAACTCGAGATATCGAGAGACATGTTGAAGTACAACTGTAAGTACGAACAAATACAAATGGTCGCTTTAATGTAATATGTATTAATTTGAATAGCTTCCAGCCTTCCACAGCTACATGAAATGAATACAAACCCATTTATTTAGCTATTTTTAGTTGAGAAATAGTATATTTAAATGCCGACATCGCATGACTTATTCCTATCAGGACGTGCAACTGAAATATTATTGGCTACGAGATTTTCCCGCTAAAACGTCTTGTACTTACATCAACAAATACATAAAGTCAAATTCATCTGTCAGTTCCTTCTTTTCAATGCATACTGTATATGCGTACTTGCTTTTTTTATGTGTGTACAAGCTATCACTACAAGGGAAAGCTATTTAGTATAACACATAAAGTGATGTATGTACTGATCTCGGCAGTGCGGATGAGTGACTAGACTGAAGCTAAATGAAAACATGCTGTGCATGCTGAGCTTGGTTGTGCCGATGAGAGGCTAGACTAAAACTCGACATTGTAGCCTGGCGTAACTAACTTGTAAATTATGTGTAAGTGCATCGGATGGTCATCTTATGTATTCAACCCTGTGAAAACTACATGACATTTACTTTGATTCTTTGCAAAGATCAGGACTGGCGCGCATTTTTCCCGGCCCAGTGTATCATATTTCGCTCGGACGTTTTCAAGATAATGATTCGGCATACGCACACGAGAGTGAGTATATACGTGTGTATGTGTACACACCCATATACATACATATATATATATATATATATATATATATATATATATATATATAAACATGTGTATGTATGTATGTATGATGTATGCTTGTCTATATATATATATATATATATACATGTATATATATATATATATATATATATATATATATATATATATATATTTATATATATATATATATATATATATATATACATATATATATATACATATCGATAAATATATATATGTATATATGTATATATATAGAGAGAGCGAGAGAGAACGAT